TAATAACAAATGGAATTAAATAAATAAATAAATAAATAAATAAATAAAATACTGAGATACAGATTCAGAATGCACAGAAAAGGTGACTCTGAGAATGAGAGCAGATAAATGAAGACGCTGAGAGAGGGAGACGCAGGGACAATTTAGGCAGTCAAGAGTAAGAGTCCTAAATCTGCCGGGCAAGGAGATCTTCCAAATGACCGCCGAAGTGGGACGAGGGACGGCCTAAGAGAACAAGCCCGCCAGGCTGTGGCCTCGGGCCCTGTGGTGTTCATTCATGGGGGAGGCCCGGTAAACCGACAGGAGCCAAGAACAGCCTGTCACAGTACTCACCTGTCTGAACGACTCCTCCTCGGCATCATCCAGAGCGGTGTTCTCGTCGAAGTCGATCACCCGGTCATACATCTGGATGTTGTATTCATCCCAAGTCACGCTGCCGTCGCTGTTTTTGTCATATTCGACAAACTGCTGTTTCGCTTCTTGCATGGCATAATGCTTAAAAGACATCTGAATCCACGAACTGAGCTCACCTATGAGAATTTGCCAGGACATGGTGAATGTGACGGTATTCCGACACTTACAGTGAGGACTCCTAAACCCTCCCTAAAACCCCCTGTGCTTGCAAATGCTAGAACTGGTCTAGTTGTACTGACAGAAACGGGTAGGAGGAGCTGGCCCTGTGGTGCCGTGGTTAAGCCCTGGATCCCACATGGCCAACCAGAGTTTGAATCCCGCCCCAGGCTGGAAAGACAGGCCGGTGAATGGGCCTTCGTGGCCAAATCTCGATGGAGTGGGAAAATGGAGGACTATGCTATGGCGATTCCCCACTGGGAGGGCTTTTCCTCTCTCTGAGACCACACAGGCCCTTCAGCCAAAAGAAAAAAAAAAGTAGATGAGAAAAAAAAAGGAAGTGGAGGGTCTAAGAATATTAAAATATATGACTTAAATAGAACTGTCATGAGCACAGAGAATTTGAATCTGTTTTGTTCACTGATAGACACCTAGAAATACCTAGAAAAGTGCCTAGCTCTATAAATGTTTATTGAAGTAATTACTCACTGGTCAAACTAGCACTTGACTTTTTTTTTTTTAAACGTTATTTAAAAAATGCAGATAGTATTTGCTAACTACCACAGATTCCCCAAGGAGCACAAATATTTTAATAACTACCTATTTGCTATGGGCCACAGATAGGCCAACAGTTGGTACAGAGGTTAAAGTGCTGGAGGTGAAGGCTGACGATGTAGTTCGAGTCCTAGACCCAGTGCATGGTGGGTGCAAGTGCATGCGTGCCCAAAATCCCAAAAGGAGACTGGAGGAGGAGGGACTGTGGCATGGCCAACCCCCCCAGGGTTTTTATTTTCACTTTCCCTCCCTCTCTCTCTCTGAAGAATGCATGACTTTCTAGCAAAACCTGAAAACAAATAAACAAACAAAACCATAGAGATGTGCTATACTACATTATAGGAAAATATTGTAGAGGGGGAAGAACACGAACATCTGTGAGGACACTATGTGTATGCTATTTGGTCATCGGAAAATCCTGAGTGTTTTTCTGTGCAAAAATGTGTCATGACTTTTAAGAATTTTAAAAAGTATTTTATTACACTTTATTTTTTATTTATTTATCTCAATTTGACCAGAGAAGGACAGAGAGAGAGAGAGAGAGAGAAGGTGGGGGGAAGTGAGAAAGCAAGCCGCCAGGTCCTGGACCCGAACCACGGTTGGCCATATGGGAGTCCAGCGCCCTTAACGACCATGCCACCTGTCGGCCCTGTGTCATGACTTTTTCAACAACCAATATGTGCCTTGAAGAGCAGTACTTCTGGCCTGGTGGTTAAGGTAGCTGGATCCTATATGGCCAATCATGTGGTTCTAGTCCTGGACCCAGCAGCCTGAAAAACACACCAGGGATGTGTGCAGGTGTGCTCAAAATATGCCGAAAGGAAGAAATGGAGGTAAACGGACTGTGGTGTGACCATTTTCCCTGAAGGAGGCTTTCCCTCTTTCTCTCTCTGGCCAGTGCATGTGCCCTCTGGCAAATTGTAGAATGACAAAAGAGTGGCTCTACTCTATTGGTTTGGAGAAGTCAGGTAAACAGAAAGCATGGACATTTATGCCTCCTGAAACTCTAAACAGGGGCCGAATAGTAACTATTACATCAGCTGTGTACCGAATACTTGCTGCACTTCAAGGCCCCTCTGCACAGCCCTTCCAAACGAGGCTATTATGATCATCACTAAATCACAGCTGAGAAAACGGAGGCTCAGAAGGGTCCAAGGCCTGACAGCTAGGAAACAGCAGACTACACGCTGTCATTGAGTAAAAGGAACAAAACCTTAGCAGTCCTGAGGGTGCCGATGCCGGTCGTTCATGGACAGCACATTTCAGAGTACCAGTCCGCAATCCTCTCCAGCCACTTCACTCTCAGAATATGAGCAGTATTTAAATGAGAGCTACAGGAAGTTCGCTATCAGTCATAGTAATAAGCTGAAATTTTTTGGAAAATCAACTTGCAATGTTGATAGACTTTATCACTTGAAGTACACAATGGGTTCAGACAGTTGCATAACAATTGACTTGGGACATTCTTTTCATAGTCTGTGCATTTCATTTCTGACTAGGGAACCTACCTAAGAGCAATCAGACTTTTTGTTTCCTAAAGAATTATATATCATTAGCATTTAAAAAAATAATTATTTATTGAATTTTATTTATCATTATTATTTGCTTTGTTCCGTTTTTTAATTTGACCAGAGAGACAGAGAGAAAGGGAAAGTGAGAAAGCAAGTTGCCAATCTGGGACTGGAACTGAAGTTGGACACATGTGAGTCTAGTGCCTTAACTACCACACCACCTGCTGGCCCCATTTTTGTTGTTGTTGTTTAAAGTTTTTGTCATAACGTGTGTGTACTAGCTAGATAGAGGAAAAGTGAGAAATCACCCCCCCCCAGGGGGGATGGCAACATCACAATCCCTTCTTTAGTCTCCTCCTGGGATTTTTGGGCATAGAAACACACACACACCCAGCATGATTTTCAAGCTGCTGGGTCCAGGACTTGAACTGCAGTTAGCCATGTGGCAGCCCACTGCCTTAACCACTATGCCATCTGCTGACCTCATTTATTATTATTTTTAATTTGCTACAGGGCACATGTGCTTATAAGAAAGAGACACAGAGACAGGGAAAGTGAGAAAGCAAGCTGCCAGATCTGGGACTCGAACTGTGGTTGGCTATGTGGGAGTCCAGTGCCTTAACCACTATGCCACCTATCAGCCCCAGAGATTTTTTTTTTTTTAGAGATTTTTTTTTTTAACTAAAGAATATTATAAACTGAATTATGGAGCCAGAAGGCACAGTAGAAGAATTTGATTGACTCTATGGGGGTAATCCCACTTGAGGAGGTTCCTAGTTCAAGTTTGGAGACCTCTCTAAATATGCTGGGCACACAGCTGACTACCATCTGGGGCTAGCTGAAGCGGGGGAGGTGGACTGCAGCATCAAGACCTTATCCAGGATGTTGTCTCTGTCTCTGTGATTCTCTTGGACATAAAAGAAAGAAACAAAAAAAAAAACTGAATTAAGGACAGGATACCTAGATTCTAGTCTTAGCTTTGCTAATAAAATTTCAAATTATTTGGGGGAAAAAAAGCATATTCTTCTGGCCTTCAGTTTCTCTCTACAAGGGAGGTGGCCAAGATGATGCTAAGGTGCCTATCAGCTCTAACATTTTGTTATAATGTTATAATAAACATAATTCACATGCAACAGGTCTTTTTCTACCTGCTCACACACAAAAAAAGCAAATTCTTAAAATCTGAATGAAGCATACATATATCAAAAAAGTAATAAATCTTTTAATGCCGTAAGAAAGTTTGGGAGCATATTTCTCCAAATGGATCATACTTGTTGACAACCGAAAGCAGTCATGTAAGGAAGAGGGTGTTTGAAGGTAGGGCTGCAGCCCCGTACACCGTCAGTGACATGCACCCACTGGAGAAGGCACTGCGTTTGACTTGGTTGGTCCCCATGTCTAAAGATGACCCAGGTATAAAACCTATTCTGCATGTCCTTTTCCCCTCTCACAGAACCTCCGACTTGCTGGGACACTAGCGATCTACATTCACTGGACAACCCCTGCTGAAAACGTTCCTGTCTCCCACAAAGGGGTCTCCATTGTTGGCCGTTGGGCAGTCCTTACTTTCGGTGAGAAAGCCATCAGAATCCGAATCAATTTTCTTTATGATCGACCGCAGCCTTTTTTGCTGTTCATCGTGATCCAGTTTAACAAATTCATCGACTTCTTCCTTTGAGGGAAAGCGATATACAGGAGGGTCAAGCATCACTGTGCTGGTGAAGGGCAGGGCCACGAGAAGCCGTTGCAGCAGAGGGGTTTCGGGGTGTCCCCCACCTGATCTGCAGGGCCCCTGCTCCCTGCACTCTCGGCGGCCAGCGTCCGAGGGTAGAGGGCTTTGGCTCTCGGGCCTACTTTCTCAGGCTTCACAGGCCCCGGGGTCCCCCAGAACGCTCGCGGCGCCCCGCCCGGGCCCCATTGTCAGGCGGCCCCGCCAGGCCTCGGCCGGCTGCCCCCCTTTGTCCCGGGACAAAGCCCGCGGCGGCGACGGCTGTGCGAGGCCCGGCCTCCCCGCCCCGGCCTGGACGCCTCACCTGGACGCCCAGTAGCGCTTCGCGATCGTAGTCGCTGCGGTGCTCGCCCTGCGGGTAGTGCAGCTCCTCGGCCTTGCCCGCGCCCGC